TACTGCTCTTAAGCCTAATGGTAGCCTAAGGGAGAAAGTCTGAAGGAGAAAAGGAAGTCATCATCATCCTCTCCCATTTGTACTCAGCAGGGACAATAGGGCCTGTTGTCCATGGGCAACAGCCTCGTTTGTCCTTTTCCATTACATGGATGAAAATAGAAAGTAAGCATGCTAAACCCAAAGATATTTATATATAAATATATGCATAATTTTTAAAGAGAGGGGATTTCTTACAGCAAAATGTCAAGAATGGCAGAGAGGCAGCTCTGCAGAGAGCCCTTGTTCTGCTGTTGTGGTTCACAGCACCCTTCAGCTTGGATAAAGCCAACACGAGGTTTTGCCCTCCCCCTTCTAGATTCCTCCACCTTCTCGAGTGCATGGCTGATAGATGAGGGATTGCAGAAGCAGTCACATTCACACTATGTATCCTTTGGGGCTCTCATTTTAGATAGTACAAATCCTCAGATGTAAATGTAGCTCTTCAGAAATATAAACAGTTACAATGAAATGTGAATGATCTATGTACATTTTGAAAAGCACAGACAAAAAGCCAAGGTCAAATCATTAGATGCTTCTAAGGATGCCTGAAGTGCTTCCAGATACTGTACTGCCAAACAATTGCAATGTTTTATGTGTGCATGGAGACAGGCACTTACAATCCCAGAATGCCTTTCAGTCTCTTTGACCAAACAGGTCATTTGGATATTTAGGTGAGGAGACTGAGGCGCTTCAGAAGTTCATTCTTTTTCCTCTGGCAGACCTGGTGCAAGTCATCTCCTCGTGCTGTGAGGAGCTACTCCACGTGACCGGTTACATTAGTCATCTCCTCTTCTGCCCTTACAGAGCCTGAGATAGTTTTGAATTTGTTCATCTGTTGATGCAGTTGCTCCCTGCAAAGGACCAACACAGCCTCTCTGGATGGAAGCCTCAGGTGATACACACTCCCAGTTAACTAACCCTAAGTCAAATGACGCAGGAGGATTCAGTGTTGGACCGTGATCAAAGATAATGGTGATTTTGCAACATAAAGCTCTTTTGGTTTCAGATTTTGCTGCCTTTCCTCAGCTGTACAGCTCACCTGTATGAGGCAGGGAAGCAAAAAGAGGAATAAAGAGAAAATGGCAGGTGTTAAGTCTGCGTTAGAAGGAAGGCTGCACACCAGTAATCATAAGGGAAGGTGGAAAGAGGAACTGCAGCTATTTTAATCGTATTTTATCTCTACTGGAAAACAGAAAGACAAATTAGAATAGTGACTTGTTACAGAATAGAGCAACAATTAGACACCAGGATCTTTAAGCCTCTTATTAAAGTTTGTGAAATACAGAATTTCTTCAATGATCATTGCACGGACATGGCTGCACTGAGAAGCACTGTGAGCAGTGGCAGTGGTAAAACCCATGCTGCTAGCAAACAGCTGAGCTGACCAGGGAGAGAAGAGGCCTGCTAAGCAATGGAGATAATCTAGCATTACCAGTTCAGGAGGTCATGGCCACGGGCCATGCTTCTGAATTGATGGTGCTCAGGTGAGGGAAAACCCAGATGCACCTATTTTGCAGCAGAGGTTTGCACAGTGCAGAGGAGAAGCTACAAACACTTTAGCAAGAGCTAGGTCATCACCTCTGCTCATATCAAAGGCACCTTTCTCCACCTTAGCCCCTGAAAGTACCCAGATTTACTCACTCCAGTAGCAGTGAGTGTCTTCGAGTAAGGGCTTCACTGGGTTGGAGGAGGCTGTGAATGCAGGGGGTGTAGAGTGGCAGGCATTTCACTTGCCTTCCCATTAGCTCACAGTCAAGGCAGGTTATTAAGTGAAGTAAACCACCAGGACCACAGTAGGAAAAAAACCATAATCTGAACTGGACCTTTCTCACAAACTTTTCTTTCACTCACAAAATGTTTCAAATCAATTAGCAGCTAATAGTATTCCATTTAACGGACAGAATCAATGCTTCAGAGAACAGGGAAGGCAGTATTTAAGAAGGCCAGACTGGTTCATTACTCTCTAGAAGAGAACTTCTTCTTGTTTTGGGTTGGGTTTTTTTTTTAGCAAACACAATTGTGCTGCCCTGATGGAAACAAATACTCATTGATTTCACTGAGGATTCTGCCTACCTCAGGAGCATGACTCTGGTATTTTACTTTGGTCCTTTGCAGCGATGTCATCATTGGAGAGGTTTTATCTCTTCCTTTTTTTCTCATTTTTTTTCCCCCAAGTGCTTCATTCGTTATTAGAAACTCTCAGAACAGCATCTGGCTTCTAAGTGATTCTGGGGCTGTATCTAGGTATTGCCAAGGGACACTTTCAAGAGATCATTTCACTTTGTGTCAGCTGTTCCCTTTGCTGCTGTGGTACTTAATTTGCTCTTCAGTTCACAGGGGATGTTGCCATCTTTTGGTGGGGAAATAGGTAAGTTAAAGAAAGCCCCTCAGGGAAGGGCTGTGGAGAGTGTCAGTCTCAGGGGCTCATTTCAACACTCAGTGCACAAACACAGGTTCACAGAACAACAGTGTTAGGCATGGCTGGGTGAGACATGAGCGAGGGGAAGCATCTCAGGCTCCATCCCATAGGATGTGTTCCTCAGTCTCAGGTGTCACAACCGCAGACAGGGTGCTCAGCACTCCATGGGGCTGCAGTATCACTGATGCCATTGTTCTGTCCTTGCACCACTGGCTCAGGTTGAAAGGACCTGGCTGTTTATTCCCATCTGAAGAGTAGAATTCAGTTTAGCCGATCAAAACCTTGGCTGGTTTGGCAACATTCATTTGGACTACTATAAACCAAATTCATCTTTGTGATCTAAGTGATGTTGAGTATAAGGCTACTGAACAGTGAGTGAAAAAAGAAAACCTATGACTTAGTTATTGGCTTACCAGCTGTATCTAGCTCTTTAACACTGTTATATCTGCTGTATCCCATTATACTGCTGCCTCCATGCAATTCCATCAATATGCTCCAAAGAGCAGAAGACACTAAAATAATTCTAGTGCACCCAGGAAAGACCTTTGAGAAAACCCTTTCCCCACCAGCACACACATTTTCTTGTAGACCATCCAGTGACTTCATACAAAGTGGACGGGCAGCACTCCTTTTCCAGTGGGATAAGAAATTCCCAGTCACCCACCTCCTGCACAGTAGGTATATTTGGTTTCCAAATATGAGAGCGATCATTTTAAGAAGCCTGGGTTAGCTAGAGGGACAGAAACTGAGTCCTTACTGCTCACATAAGCTAAAATCTCCCTAACTGCAAAGGAGAGTTTGCTAGCAGAGGAAATGGAACGCCAGGACTTTTGCCCATTCTCTAATCTGAGAGGGACAGGCTGGGTGCAGACGAAGGCTGCCACAAAACAAAGCATTCAGGCATGCACTTAGAACACTTCCTTTGCTGAGCAACTGGAACACTGCACACCAGATGCTTTCTCTTCCTTTTTCCTGAGCATGAATACAGTACCTCGGACTGAATCTAGCACCAGATGCAGCTGTTTAATACCCAGTTAGCAAGACAAGGGACTACAGCTGACACCACACATTGCAATTAAACTTATTCTGAGCTTATCCAACTGATGAAAAGAGAGCATTTTTTATGTCCAGCTGCTAAACCCCACGCATGAGCTGGGAAACATTCTGTGCCTGTTTATACCAATCTGGATCCAGTGTTTGGGTTCCTGGAGTCAGAGCTTAGGTTCACATTATGTTAATGGTCAGATTAGAATAAAGCTTTCCACTATGAACATGTGTCTCTACAGGAACGCATCACAGACCAGTGTGGGTTTTAGATACATGATCATATACTCCTTATTCTGTATGATTCCTCAGACCATGAACAAACTAAAAAGTGATAAAAACGAAAATAGTCTTCTCTTTGTGAGGTGCTAGGCTGTAACTCAGAGAAGCTATGTTTCTGGCCTTGGACTTATTGTTAAGTGAGAAGATGAGGTGTCAGTGGTGCCTCCCATTCTGATGGTTTCTAAGTGACTGAAGTGACACTGTTAAACTTCAGTAACTACAGACATACATAAAAAACTAAGTTGGAAAGATTTGTATGGTGCTTTACAGCAACACTGGGGCAATTCCTCCTCCAAGCAGCTCGCAGTCTAAGGCATAATGAGAGGATGAGGCACTGGCACAGGGTGCCCAGATTAGCTGTGCCTACCCTATCCCTGCAATGTTCAAGGCCAGGTTGGACAGGGCTTGGAGCCACTTGGTCTAGTGGAAGGTGTCCCTGCCCATGGCAGGGGTTTGGATCTGGATGAGCTTTAAGGTCCCTTCCAACACAAACCATTCTGTGGTTCTATGGAAGCACAAATACTGAGATCAGTTGTACATGTAGGCTTTCTACTGCTGTGGCGATTTGTCTCCGTGTGGCAAAATACAATGTCGACAGCAGTCACTAAGTTAGTCCTAAACCAACGAACTTGAGTACAAAGACAGAGCAGGCCAGTGCCTTACTACGTGCTTCCCAGCAAGGCTAATCATGCAGAGCTGGCTCTAGCTTGCCTTGGCCTGTTCCAGGTAGCAGTTCTCCCTGTCCCAGGACATACTTTCTCCTGGAAATCTGGTTTGTGCTGCTGGACACCAAACAGCATGTGTCTGCCACCCAGTCAACCTGCACGTATCATCTCTTGCCCAGCTGCTGAGATGGAAAAGAGAGACGGGAAACATAGCAGGGAAGAACTGGGGCAGGGAGGAGTGAAGGTTTCACACTGAGAAAGCTCCAGTGGGAAAAACAGGGCACACAGAGCCCAAATCAGGAGAAAACTAGGATTCATTAGTTACACTGTTCTTCTGTACTAAGCACGGGCATGGTACCTGCTTCTTCATGCTCCCATTATTAATTAGTTGTTTATCTTTGAATTTTACTTTAAAAGGATGGTAGGGGCAGACATGGAGAATACAGCATTTCTGTGGTTTGCTCAAAAAACACCAGCTTGAGCAGGGATGTGAAAGGGAACCACGTGAGAGCCGAGGGAAACATAAGGGCAGCGAGACAGTCCTAAGTATGTGTGCTTCTAAATGGTTTTAATGGGGTCACTTCTGTCCTGAGGCATAACTCAGTGTGTTCAGATGACAGGCTCTGGCCCTGAGCTTGTGAGAAGCTTTGCAGATGAGTGTGACAAGCGTGGGTTTAGCACAGAGGGGACTGCACTCTGAGGACTTGAATGTGGCCAGATGGCAAAGAGGGGGCATGTGTCCCCACTGGAAGGCTGAATGGCTACCATGAAATACGGCAGAGCAGGAGACCTTAGTGCAGGAAAAGACCTCATGTCAAACGCGGGCTTGGACAAAAGTTTCAGAAGAAATGGATGGGTTTGGAAAGGCTGCAAAGGGATGAAATTACAATAGAGTGACTGTCAGGGAGAAGGAATGGCTGCAGGTTTATTCTGCAATAAATCTTTAATTTGTTCAATGCAGAACATTTGAAAACCTTCCCCCTGAAGCACAGCTTTTCCACCCAATGATGCTGTTGTCTCTTACCAACCTTATGTTGTCCTGTTATTGCAGAGAAATAGAAAATACACTTTCACATTAGGAAACTGTAATGGGGTAGCAGTAAACAACATGGGGCAGTTCAAACATGCAGCAGTTTGGAACTCCCCTTGCTTAGAGCCTTCCTTCCAGAGCAATCCCTCTGCACTCCCATCTGTCCCTACCATGAGAATTTGGTTAGAATTAATCACTGATCAACTCCTTGTAAAGGCTTTGTTTAATCTTGAGAAGTGCTAAGGGGGAAGCCCACACATGCATACATGCACCAGAGCTTTAGGATAAAGGAATCTAAAATCTGGTCAGATGAGTTTCTCAGGAAAGAAAATAATATAGGCATTTACTGGTCAATAAGGGGTTTGGCTTGTTTCTTTTATTTCTGCCTTTTGCAATCTTTAAAAATGCTTCATACATTGCTTGAGAGCTGCATGTTTCACTTCAGTGCAGAGTTAACCATTGAAATTCATTAATTGCCTTTTATGTTGCCATTAAACATTGCAATCAATTCAGTCTCCATATTCTACACTTTTATCTCCGCTACATAAAAAAGGTCTATTAGCTTTGCTTGGCTCCAAAACAATACAGTGAACTACCCTTCATTATTAATAATCTCTTTCCCCTTGAATAAGGCTTTTTGGACCTTTGCTACAGTCCAGTGATGTATTTATTTGGTGCGTAGGGTTCAGAGCAATCCAGTGCACTCTCTCTGGGAAAGAACCCAAAAATAACTATCTAGTTGATATCAACCCAAGGGATTTCCTAAGGGAATGAGAATAGCATTTCAGGGCAGGTCATCAGTGGTATAGGGGAATTAGACAAATCTGTGTCTGGGGAACAGATGCCTCTGGGTTTGTAAATGTGTGAGAGAACCTTTCCCCTCTCGGTGACCAGTTCAGCTCCATCCAGTGCAGCAGTGACTGGAAGCCATTAAACATCTAATGAACTTCTGGGCCCTCCTGAAGCAAGGAATGGGATTACTAACAGACACTTACTTACATCTTGGAGCCGCTCCTACCCAAACTGTCTTCTCAGCAGTAATACATAGATACAGAAACTGGGAATAAGCATAGTGAAGTGAAGAGTATTTTATCTGCTGAATGCAGTAAGCAGGTTGCTTCTGGGCTGGCAGTGCAGCTTCAGATTTACTGCTGGCACTTGCCTGTTCTTTAAAAGAAACAAAATGATGCATTACAAAGCACTTTGTTATAACCTTTCCTCACACAGTCCATTAGGAGGGCCTGGAAGAGTTACAGACTCACTCTTGCAGCATCTCAGACTTTGGGGAAGATAAAGCAGTAAGGAAGGATTTGGTTTTGTGCTTGGAGGCCAATTCTGGGACTCCCAAACTGCTACATGCTGCACATCCAGCTTTGATGCAGGTCTGCTAGGAGAAAGAGAAGACAAATGCTGAGCATTACAACCACAAACCACAGCTGTTGATGGGAATTGGCAAGAGACCAGGGAATGCCAGGAAGCATAGATGGCCTGCAGCAGAAGGTAGGGCTGAGCAGGGCTCTCTGACACTTGAAGCTTTTATATTCAGCTCCTGGTGCTTTTCCATCCTGGCATCTGGTTTCCATGATAGCACAAGGGAGGGACAGTATGGTGCAATTCCATGGTATGTTTTCCGAGGTTATGTTGGCACTTCCTCAGGGAAACATGCCTCAGCAGAGGCTCAGGTTCACCATGCCCCTGGGTTCACATTATCTGCAGCTATTCTGTGTGCTTTAGCTTGCTGCTGGCTCACTCCAGTTGCCTCCATATTTCATTGAGGAGGAGGGGGTTGAGGCTTGCCAACTGTCCTCCTCCTCTCTTCTAACACAGGATGGAGACACACCGAGGAGCAGAGCCAAGCTGTGGCAAAGCCCTGCCCATCAGCATAGCTGTGACCAGAAGAGCATGTGATGGGACTCGTAGCTCTGCAGTCCTGCACAGGAACTGGTGAAGCTGGAGCCAGGCAGTGTGGCTGCTGCTCAGCTCTGAGGCTTGGTATGTACCCTAGTGCTCCCATTTCTTCATGCCCTTCTGAGTGGAAGCTCTTCAGGGCTATCTTTATCCACTCATATGGTACATGATTAAATTGCGACAATTCAGGCACAGGCTATTGAATAGTGCAGTTCTATAAACTGCAAAGAGCATGCATGTTTTGAAGGCTGAAAAAAGAGGAGGAGAAAACAAATAGGAAAGGTTTTCTGTAATGGGATCCTCCACTGCTCACCCGCTTTTGTTACCAGCATGTGCAAATCTAGCTATTCCAGTCCATTATATTCAGCCCTCTTATACTCGGTGGCAGGTGAAATGTCATACCTCGGGGTAAATTTTCACTGCAGTAGGCAGAGAATTTGTCCTTTAAACACCCTTAGTATTAATGGGAAATTGATCCCGCAGTTTAAACTCCAAGAGATACAAATGTCTCATTTTCAAATGTGATGACAGTTTGATTCACAAAATGAGACACTTTTAGAAGCAAATGCAAATTCATTGCATTCAGGATTTGAGGTCAGCTGGATACCGGAAATGTGCAATGAATGTTTAGGATGGTCATCAAATATCTTTTAATCTCTGGACACTCAAGGGATTAAAGTGACTTCAGAGAAAGGAAAGGGAATTTCTGAAGTTTGCTGCATTAACTGGTGCATCCTCTTACAGGGCTGGAACCTACATTGACCTGTTGCACTTGCAATAATCGTGTCTAGGGCAAAAGGAGGCTTTGGGATAAGAGAAAATACATCTTTCGCACCATCGGACTTGCTTTCATCTCCCAAGAGCTCTGATCCTGCTCAGGTCCACCTGGGGGAGTTGTCAGTGTTTTACTGCTGTCAGTGGAATTCACAGTAGGACTAGAGCCCATAAGAACAGTGCAGGACATAAACCAGTACACACAGAGAGGGGGTGGCTCGCCTGGTTCCCAGGCACAGGCTCTCTCCACTCTTCCAGCTCAGAAATTATTCAATGCATTGTGAGAAAGATGATCTGTACATTAGGGACACATCCACAACGGCCTTACAGACTCTACCAGTCCCTTGTAGGTCAAACCTTACAAAACCCAAGGAAGCCTGCCTGTGGGTTTGGGCTCCATCCTGCAGAAAAGGGTGAGCAGCTTTGGAGAGAAGGACCAACTTGGCAAGTTTCTGGGTCTCACCTGCGCTGAACCAAGGTTTGGGATGCACTGGCACAGCTGCAGGCAGAAACGGGTCACTTTCCTCCTCTCCCCTCCCTACTGCAGCCAGTGGCACAGCTCCCAGCAGAGGGGAGTGAGGGGTAACCACTTCCCATGCGCAGGCAGGGCCAGTGGGGCTGCCTATGGTCACCTCCTGCGGCGGGGCTGACGAGAGGCTGGGCCATGCCGGGTACATGCATAGTAGTTTGGATGGCGTGAGAGTTGTTACTTCATCGGGGGATTTCACAGGAAGCCCATGGCTCCTCTCAAGTGGACATGAACATCCCCTGTGGCAGACACCCCAGCTGGTACATGTCCCATGACAGCAGCAGTGTGAGGAACCAGGGGAGGAGAACAAATGCAGGGGAAGTTCTGAGGTCCCCACAGAGCAGCCTCAGCCCTTCCCCTTCCCCAGCAGTTCTGGGAGCCACTGCCCAGGGGAAGTTACACCAATTTGGGTGCTGACTGAGAACACGACTTCCCTCACAGGCACATGTACAATGGAGCCCAAACAGAGTTAAGAGGAAGAGGAAAAGCCCCAGCGCTGTGCAATATGCAAACAACTGTATTCAGCTGTATGAGAACAACAACTGCCCGTGCAGCCTTGGGCAACCTGCTGATAAACCACAGTCTTTTGGGTGGCCTTGCTGGTCCTCTCCAAGGGCTCTGGATAAGCACTCTAGCAGGCACGCAAGGTTATCAGGATCAGTGCTTTCCTACATGCTCACCTGAGCATGCTGTTTTCCTTCTGGGCCCCACTTGCTTCCTCAAACTGGCTGATGTGCCATAGGGGTCTGAGGGAGGAAGAACATACTGGTCCTGTACCAGTTACATGATCTCCTGGGAGCCCCATACAGAAGCATTCAAGGTTATTGTCATCTCCACCCAGGTGGCGTTTCCCTGCAGGCAAAGAGCTCCAAGTACATCTACCAACTGCTTCTCACATCAAGTAGCTTATCTTTAAGGAAAAGATGACAGACCAAAGAGAACATCAATAAGCTGAAAAGATCATTTTTTTAGTATGACCAGCAGCTACAAATCCTAGGTGTACCCTGAATGCATAAATGTGTTTTAAAGGTGTTGTGACTCATGTCACATCCAGGCATACAGCTGGGTAACAGCAGACTTGGGACAGGTTCAAGTGGACTGAAAGCAGTTTTCACTCATAAATGCAATGACAGCAGTGCAAATAACCTGGATGTCTGATGGGCTGTGAATCCTGGCCACAAGAAGTCCCAGTACGAGTTTTACAGCTCAGAGCTGTTCCTAAAACAATCTCCTTTCAGAGTGAGAATCCTGGGAAAGAAACTTGGTCTCAACCCTTAAATAGAGGTGTGAGGGGCTTCTTCATTCACATTTGACAGATTACTGCAGGCCAGTGCCAGCAGGTACCTGTGATACCCACTTACACAAGGATGCTGCCACATACAGTAAATACTTCTTCACACCTCAACATAAACAGGCTGCCAGACAGACCCACAAATGCACAGAGAGTGTGTCTGCCCTATGGCCAGTCCTTTAGAGGGATGAGGATTCACAGGCTGGAGCATCTGCCCTCAGTGCTAGGACTAGCAGAACAGAATTAGGAATGGGGCTCCTATTTCCTCCCTTTAAGTTTTGCTGACTAGCCCATAACCACCATCATGAAAACCCAAATCATCCCTGGAGATCTCAGACTGCAGAGATATAGGGACAGGGGGTAGTGTGATGGGGAATGTCTCTGGCAAGGCACTGAGCTGTGGGGAACATAAATCATACATCACATAACTCTACCCCAATGGCAGCAGTTGTCCAAAATCAGCACACCACCTGGGGATGCCTACAGAGATGGGCTCTGGTTGTCTCTCCACGGGGCAGCTCAGAGAGGGTTCAGTGTGGGCTGCTGCCCTCCTCCAAAGCACAGCCACATGGCTGTTCCCATTTTAGGATGGTCCTTCAGTGCTGGCCCTGGCCTGCAGCTGCCCAGACACTTCAAACCCTCCGGCATGAGCTGCTGGGCAGCAATGTGTCTGACACAGTCCAGCCCTCCCTGCTTTAGCACCCTGTGGGCTCCAATGGGAGCAAGGTGAGAGGGGCAGGAATGCAGCCCTGCCATTGCTGGTGAAGCTCTGCAGTAACTGCTGGCTGCTGACAGCCAAACCAGAGCCCTGTCTCCTGTACTGTTACGGGAGGGAGCCGCCAGCCCTGTGAGTAAATGTTTCAAAGCTGCACCGAGGCATTGTTCAATTCTGATTTCCAAGTGACCTCCAGTTCCTCTGGGTATGCTAAGGGTGGAAGAATGTTCACTCCCAGGAATCAGTTTAAATCCAGTGGTGCCCAGCACAGTGGTTCCCAGAGCAGGGACGAGAGGTGGGAAGGCTCCTGGTGTTCTCCCTGCCCTCAAACACCAAAGATGAGCAGCTCCATCAGATGTCACCTCCACCAGCAGAACCAAATAACAGCCACCCCTCCTGCAGCTCCCTTCCTCAGCAGCTCAAGGTCCTTTTTTCATATCATTCTGCCCTCCAGAATCAAGTTTCCCACCAATCTATTGCCCACTTCAACTTGGAATCATAGACTCATTTAGGCAGGAAGGGACCTTAAAGCTCATTCAGTTCCAACCCCCTGCCATGGGCAGGGACATCTTCCACTAGAACAGCTTGCTCCAAGCTCCATCCAACCTGGCCTTAAAGACTGCCAAGGATGGGGCAGGCACAGCTTCTCTGGGCACCCTGTGCCAGGGCCTCAGCACCCTCACAGTAAAGAACATCCTAATATCTAATCCCATTTGCACGGGTCTAGCTGCAAATGGAAACGGTGCCTGGATGTAAAATTAAAGATGGACCTGCAAAGAACCAAACCCACCTAAAGTTACACTTGTGGTATAAATTATTTCAGTGACTGGTTTCTGCTGCAGCCCCATTAACAGCAGGACAGTTCCAGCTGAGCAAAGTAAACCACAGCTGGGGAGAGGAAACAAGCACAAGTGTCATGGGACAGCTGTCTCGCCAAGGAAGTGGTGGGTAGACATGGGCCCCACCATGGGACTCAGGCTACATCCAGGGCTCTGGCAAGTGACCTGAGCATGGTGCACCATTCATAGCAGCTGAGCAAAGACATTAAAGGTATGCAATAAAACCACTTTGGCTACTGCTAACATTTCGCAGTGCTGAAAGAAGCACTAGTGTTGGCACGCAGCAAGTGGCATCTATACAGCTCTGTGCTAACTCCTGACTGAGCCATACAGGGAAAAGAAGCTGCAAGGCCAAGAACAGGACAAGGTGAAGAAAGTGCAAGCTGCAAACCTCTGCTTGCCTTGCTCAGCAGCAGATGAATGTTAATTCTCTGCTGGTTTGCACAGCCACAGACAGACCTGTTCTTTCTAATTTTAGCCCTTGCCTAATTCAAAACTATAGAGATGCTATTTTCATGGTGTTTTTTTTTTTTTTCCTTCTCTTTAACAGGTTGTAAGCTGCCAGATGCACCTGCGTGGTTGAGAAATTGGTGTTGTCCAAGGAGAGCTGGGAAACCTTTGTTAGAAATAAGAAGCACATAGAATAAAATGGCACTTTAAAGCATGCTTTTAAGCTCCAAGAACAAGTCTTGGAGGCAGAGCAACCTGTCTGTGCTGGACGGAGGAGGGGAGCGGGGCCCCGGTCAGCTGCATTCTGGTATGGAGCATGCACCTTCCTCAAAACTCACACACAGACCATCCTGTCATGCCTTGTGTCTCTCAGCTGTGTGCATGCTGACATAGAATCATAGAACCAACTAGGTTGGAAAAGACCTTTAAGTTCATCAACTTCTACTACAGGGCTGCCAAGTCCACTGCTAAACCTTGTCACTAAGGGCCTGCAGTTTCTGAACACTTCCAGGGATGGTGATTCCACCCTGAGGACACATACAGCCATCTGCTCTCTGCACACCTCCACCATACATCCACCCTGCTTCCAAGCCCTTGCTCCAAAATACACCTGCACCCAGACCCCCTCACCCCACACCCTCTCCCTGCCTCTGCTCCTCCTCTCCATCACCCATCCTTGCTCGTCTTCCGCTGAGCCTGCCTGCAACAGGCAGCAACCTAAAATGTGTATAAAAAATGGTGAAATGAGGAAACATTTGTGAGAGGAAGTGAGTGGGTGGAGGGAAAAGCCTGGAGTGAACCAAAATCAACAAATACCACACTGAAACCTGAGCACTGAGTGCCCAGGGTATATGTAAGAATGCCAAGTTTACAAAACACTACCCAAATGCGCATATTCTATGCTACGTGCACCCAGTGTATGCAAGGCAACAAGATGTGCACAAGCACCGAAAATAAAGAGGAAGCTGAAAATCAGAAGTGTAAGAGCCAATGCCTTACAGCAGCACAGGTAGCTCCTGTGAGGGTGAGCAGAAAAGGCATCAGGTCATTGATCAAGGCCTCAAGTTGCCCATGCATCTTACTGGATCCCACAACCCAGACAGCAACCCAGAGGCTCTCAAAGTCCAGACAGACTGATGGTGTCTCACTAAGCATAGAGATCTTGGCAGCTATGAATAGACTGCATTTTCATTTAGTGCTTTCAATTAAAGCCTTTTAAAGGTAATATTTCTGTTTTCAAATGAACAGTTGTTTCTACAACAATGAAACTGGAAGCCCCGCTCTGCTGTTTTGACAGAGCAGCAGTTCCTCAATTCAGATTTCTCCCTGCAGCAGCGCAAATACCTAGGAACACAATTACCAGTTTTTCAGCTTATTATTTGTGTATCCCTGACCTGTAAAACCTTCCTGCCTTCTCTAGCCTTGTAGAGAAAGACTGGCAGTGTTATGGCTTCAGTAACGCTCCACAGAAGACCTTGGGTTTTCTCCTAAAAGGACAACAAACTTGACTCAAAGGGCCTGTACCAGAATCCGGCCAGTTTTGCCCTCTCAGAATCAGCACATGAAACCTCAGCTAACACTGGGTGTTCAGACATGTCACTCCTCTAACCACTCACCCAGTGAGCTGGTTTTATCCAGGTTGCTACCACAGACAAGGTCATTAGCAATTAACAGGTACACAAACAGCTATTACAACACTCACAGAAAATGGTTACATTTCATTTTCCTTCCCACATGTTTCACAGAATCACAAACTGGTGTGGGTTGGAAGGAACCTTAAAGCTCATCCATTTCCAACCCCCCGCCATGGGCAGAGACACCTTCCACGGGCAGAGACACCTTCCACTGGAGCAGGTTGCTCCAAGCCCCATCCAACCTGGCCTTGAACACTGCCAGGGATGGGGCAGCCACAGCTTCTCTGGGCACCCTGTTCCACCCTCATAGTAAAGAATTTCTTCCTCATATCTAAATCTTCCCTCTGTCAGTTTAAAGCCATTCCCCCTTGACCTGTCACTACAGGCCCTTGTCAAAAGCCCCTCTCCAGATTTCCTGTAGGCCCCTTTAAGCATTGAAAGACTATTACAAGTTCTCCCTGAGCCTTCTCCAGGCTGACCAACCCCAGCTTTCTCAGCCTGTTTCAAACCAGCTTGTTCTGCAGGGATTGTCCTGCAGAAGAGGTTCACTTCCACATGTAATAAGGCTGCCCACTTTTAATTTTAAAAGAATAACAAAAGTGATCTGCGAGTT